AGAGAGAGAGAGAGAGAGAGAGAGAGAGAGAGAGAGAGAGAGAGAGAGAGAGAGAGAGCGAGAGAGAGAGAGAGAGAGAGAGAGAGAGAGAGAGGAAGCAGTTTCTACTAGACTGTAGGTGGCAGGTGCCCACCTCCATGGCTGAGCTTCGTTGCTCAAGGTTGACGCCTGGTCAGACAGCTGCGGGAAGACTTCATCAGTATAGTCGCGGTGGATGAGCATTCTGAGGTGTCGAGTTGTTTACCTTAACTTACCTCTTGTCACTGGTGATACTGTGGCAGCCATTTACACTTGAAAACTATAGGTGGCAGGCAACCATAGCTTGTCACCTCCATAGCTGAGCTTCATTGCTGTAGGTTAGACTTAGACGCCTGGTCTGGCAGCTGCAGGAAAAAACTTCATCACTATAGTCAGGGTGGATGAGCATTCTGAGGTGTAGAGTATATTCAGGCAGAAGATCCCATAGGAGAAGGGTGGTCGACCGATCGTGAGAACACGCGTCCTGTCTGGCTGCGCACAGAGTGTAGAGTATATAGAAATGAATGGAGAGACAAGATTCGTTAGTACAGTGTAATATTGACTCAGACCATGTTGCACAGTCCCTATATCCGAAAAACTGTGAGAAGATTTCACATTTACTCACACGTATGAGCTCTACCACTATTCACACTCGGTCCCAACCTCATCATCCCGTACGGATTCATACACTCGACACGACTCGTTCACATGCGCATTCGTCTTATACAGGCATCCACGACATCCATGATTCGACCGTCCCACACTTGACACTAACACGAAGAGTCCAATCATACATTCGATCGACATGGACTCGACAATGACACGGACGGGTGACCCGACAAAGCAAGAAGTAACTTCCTTGTTGAAGGATTTCCCCTGCCTGCCTGATGTGCATTTAAAATTATTAAATTGAATTGATTACCTTACTGTCTGGGCTACCAACCGGACCACCGGGGCCACCTTGGCTGCTTCTCTACCTTTGTCTCAATTCCGGTTACTCGCTGCCGAGTTTGGAACTCCATTTGAGTGCTAAAATGGAGTCCAAATGGAGTTCCAAACCCAGCAGCGAGTCTCAATGGGCCCAAAGTGGAACCAATGACAATAGAGAACAAGGCTACCAACCGGACCACCGGGGCCACCATGACTTGTTCTCTATTGTCATTGGTTCCACTTTGGGCCCATTGGGACTGCTAGCCTAATGTTCCTGTTGTTGAAGCTTCTCTCATGATTGCTGGGTTCACTGCATGTGGTCCAGGGGGCTTGCTGCATAGAAGTTTCAGCTTCATGTAGAGATTCTCGCAAAGAACTTTCAGTGTCATTCACAGATTCTCAAAAGCATTCCAGTCCCATGTATGCTGATAATATCTCTGTTGAAGTTATATCACAACAAGTATATTAATAACACAGGAAGCTAGGCTACCAGACTGGAGAGGGACCACTTGCCCAGGTGGGTCAAAAAAGGGGGAAAGAAGGAACTTATTTGAAGTTATTTTGGAAATTTGTTTTTTAATTGTCAATTTGGTAACTAGGCTACCAGAGTGGCCCAGGACGACTTGCCCGGCCGGGCCAAAAACAATAAAAATAAATAAACTTAATAAAGGTAATTTAAATGAACATTTTTTTTTACACTTTTTTATTTAAAATTTGGTAGGGAATTTCGATGCGACCCTGAGGCAAAAGTTGTTCAGTTACTTTTTCTGCATAACATAGTTTTTTTTTCAGATTCTTTTTTTCTTTTTTTCTGGGACCTTCTTCGAGGGCGTCCCGCTGGTAGCCTAGTTTAGTAAACAATTTCGGTGTGTCCCTGTGCAATAACCCATTCTGTGTGCCTCGTGGAAAGTCTGAGGGCTTCCGGGCCGCACTCAGACCCAGGCTGAAGGGGAAAATAAACCCCACATAAAGATTCAGGGCCTGGACGAGATACAGTTGACTAAAGTCAACTGTCGGAGACCCAACAGTCAAAGTCAAAGTGTACCCAGCCCAGGCCACCGGTCAGACTCACACATTTGTTTGTATGCAGGTACCCAGACAGCATCAGGTCCAAAGGGAAGTCTGCAACTGTACACAATCCAGGCCCTTGGCTGTGAGTCAATCTGGACGACTGTGGGAAAGGTACCCGAGGCCAGACATCCTCGACAAATGCTACTTAAAGGCTGGTCTCGAGGTGGTCAACATTCAGTCTTGCTATGCTGCTTTAACGCTGGCTCGACTTTGATTTGACGCTGGCATTGACGCTGGCACGACGCTGGCGAGACGCTGGCTTGACGCTGGCTGTGCGCAGGCACTGTGGATGACGACGCGGACTGAGACAGCATGCTGGCACATTCTGCATTATGCGCCAGGCATTGCTGATGTGGTGCTGCCACCTGCCTTCCAGGCTGACGTGGTGCAGGCCACCTGTCTACATTGCATGCTGATGTGGCGCTGCCTCTGGTCTGCATTGACGTGGCGCAGGCCACTTGCCTACATTGCATGCTGATGTGGCGCTGCCTCTGGTCTACAGTGATGTGGCGCTGCCTCTGGTCTATATTGCATGCTGATGTGGTGCATGCCACTGGTCTACTGTTACATACTTCAATGAGTATGGGCAGAACCAAAGATCAACCAATATAGGATGAGCATATATGCAGCGGAAGTCTGATAAACGGACTGACTCACATAGGTATCACTCCACACACATACAATCATGAGATGGTGGGGTCTGGGCCAAGCATAGACGATGCCCAGATCCCGTACACACATACACAGATGAAAGGTGGGAGGAGAGACGAAGGAGGTGGGGGTGGTAGACAGCACCGGTAGGTCACCGAGATAGAATCCGATAGGTCACCGATATGGTTGTCCAAAATGTCATCCAACAAGATCAAAATGTCGAGGACAATCAGTCACCAATGTCGGAGATACAGAGTCCAAATGTAACCGGTGTCCGAACTGTGATGCCGCCAAGTATCAACCCCAACAATCTCCAAGTCTCCAATCCGGTAAGTACCACAGTCTCATACCACCGAAATCCAACTCTGATCTCTGTCCAACTAGTATAAGTCTCCAAATCTGAAGAAGAAGAAGAAGAAGAAGAAGAAGAAGAAGAAGAAGAAGAAGAAGAAGAAGATGGAGTCTGAAAAGAAGAGGAAGAAGGGAGCCGAGGAGGAGAGAGAGAGAGAGGGGACTGGCGAGGGGAGGGAGGAGAGAGGCCTCCAACTCCCGATACCTCAGGCGGCTATGGCCGCCGGCACACTCAGTCGCCGCTGCTGCTGCTCGCTCGCTGCTGCTGCGCTAATGCTGCGCTGTTGCTCCTCGCTGCTCCTGCGCTAAACTTAGTGCCAGCGCTGTATCGCACTGTACCATACCGTACGGGTAGAATGCCGGTAGGTCGATAGCCCCACTGAGGCTGGACCGGTGCCTTTGTACCGGTGGGCAGAGGTCGACCTCTATGCTGCGAGGCCTGACCGTGCCCTGAACCGTCCAGATGGACGGTTCTGCCCCAACCGGCGGGCGGCAGCCTCAAGAGCGCCGGCAGGCCCAAACGGTAATATCGTTTGGGCCGGCCCATCGGGTCTGGTCCAAGGTAAGGCCTTTACGGCCTGTAGTACCCCCCAAGGTCGGGCCTTTGACCCTACTTTGTCCCTCTACCTCTACGTCGGGTCCGGTAGGACCCGTGTGGCGTCGAAGATGTAACACACTCCCCCTCTTAAAAGACCGAGCTACCTGCGAGGGCGAAGTTGTCTGTCCGATACCGGGGTGGGTCGGGCGGGACGAGCTGCTTCCTTAGCAAGGCGTCGCTTCTCATAGTCGGCGAAGATAAGGGTTGCAGAAGTCTGCAAATCTATACTGGAGATCCACCGTGTGTCATCAGGCGCACATTGCTTGAATGTGAGTTTGAACTGCATTGTCTTGTTGCCATACTTGCGATGCGTGATGACTCGGTCGACTTCCCGATGTCCGTCCATAGAAGGCGGATCCTGTGATCGACGGCCGGGAAACTCGTCGGCGGAAGGTGGCGTGTAGATGGCCAGCTTCGACGCGTGGAAGACCTGGTGCACTGGAAGGTGCGGAGGAATGTTGACCACAAAGGAAGGACCTGCGGGGTCGTCTCCAACGACAGAAGTGACTTCCCATGGTCCGAACCATTTCGGAAGGAGTTTGCGAGAAACGTCCTGCTCGAGCGCAAATTCCTCGGAGAGCACCCAAACAAGGTCTCCCTCGCGGAAAGGACATGGAAGTCGACGTTGGTTAGCCTGCTGCTGCATGCGGATCTGAGCCTTTTGCATATTCGCGCGGACTTTGATCAGCAAGTCCCGGTACTTCCGAACGGAAGCGGGAGAGCAAGGGACGTCTATGTCGGCAGCCTGTGGCAAAAGTAGATCAACGAAGATCCGTGCTCTCTCCACCATGATGCAGCTCGAATGGTGTGATGCAGATCGCCGGGTGCACCGAAGTGTTGTAGGCGAACTCGATGTCGGGAAGCCGGTCAACCCAATCTTTCTTGTCGGGATGGATGAGCGTACGCAACATCATCTGAGCGGTCTGATGCGCTCGCTCCGTGTGGCCATCCGTCTGCGGGTGCCGAGCCGAGCTCGGCTTCATTGTCGTACCGGACTCAGCCATGAGGGAAGTCAAAAAAACCGACACGAAGCGAGTATCTCGGTCGCTCACTATGTCTTCCGGAACACCCTGGTTGGTAATCCAACCGGTGTGCAAGAGTCGTGCGAGCTCAGGCGCTGCAGCATGATACTTGCAAGGAAGGAAGCGAGCATACTTGCTCAAGCGGTCAACGACCATGAGAATACCGTCATGGCCATGGCGATTGCGAGGAAAGGGGCCTGTCACGTCCATAGCAATGGAGAGGCGTGGTGCCTGAGGGATCGGCAACGGTTTCAGTTCGTCGAAGGGGACTCGAGATCGACCCTTGTTACGGTGCACATGACTCAATGTGCCTCGTGACGTCATGAAGGACGTCGGGCCAGTGAAAACGTTGGCGAAGGCGTGCTAGTGTGCGGTTCACGCCAAGGTGTGCCGAAAGTCTTGCGTCGTGGAATTCGCCGAGAAGACGAGTCCGTAAGATGCGATCTTGGGGCACAACTAATAAGTCCTTTCCTCTCGTGTGAAGGAGAAGGAACCCGTCGGAAATCCGATAGTGGCTAACCGGCGGGTGATCCGATGAAAGTTCCGCGTAAAGCGTAGAGTAAGTCGGATCGGACTTGTAGCCTTTGACGAAATGCGGTTGCAGATCGTCATCGAGGTCGAATGCCGTGGTCACAATGGCACGAAAGTCGGGCCGTCGTGAGAGGGCGTCCGCAGCTCGRTTGGCGGGACCGGGAATGTGGCACGGGKCAAAGTCGAACTGGTCGATGTAATACATCCATCGACCGATCGTACTAGTGACCGTGTCCTGCGTTTTGTAAAATGTCAACGGATTGTTATCCGTATTCCATTTAAAACGCCAACGGCTGAGAAGAAAGTGGCGCCACCGTTTGAGAACGGTGACGAACGCGAGTAGCTCTTTCTTCCTAGCGTCGTCGAGAGTGTTTACGAGAGGCACCTTTTGGGAGAAGTACTCGACCGGATGCCAACCGTCCTCGTGACACTGTTCCAACACCGCACCAATACCGTACACCGAAGCGTCCGTAGTCACTTGGGTGGGAAGGGTGGGGTCATATATACGGAGGGCAGGTGCGGCTTGCATTGCTGCCTTCAACGTAGCGAACGCATCACGGGCTGCGTCGTCGAACTCGAAGGGCACCTTCGAGGACTGAAGTCTCGACAAAGGAGCGGCCACTTTCGAGTATGACTCGACAAATCGATGATAGTATCCAGCCTAACCCATGAAAGAGCATACATCCGTCGTGCAACAGGGTTCCGGCCAATCCACGATGGCTTGGATCTTGTCCGCTAAGGGACAAAGTCGCGAAACTCAGTCGTTATCGCTGCTTGGAAAGTCGCGGGGGCATTGGTGAGGCCAAAGGGCATGACAACCCACTCAAAATGCCCGTACCGTGTCTTGAACGTGGTCTTGTACCGGTCTTGAGGCTGGATTTCAATCTGGTGGTAACCTGACTTCAAGTCCAACTTCGATAAGTACGTCACGCCGCCTAACCGCTCAAGAAGATCATCAATCCGAGGGAGAGGGCCGGCGTTCTTTACGGTTTGTGCGTTAAGTTTCCGATAATCGATGCATAACCGTAGATCTTTGTTCTTCTTCTGGACGAAGAGAACAGGGGCACCGTATGGCGAGCAACTAGGGCGAATCCAGCCCTTGTCGAGAAGGTCGTCGAGTTGTGCGCGAAGCAGCTTGAGTTCCTCTTCGCTCATGCGGTAGATACATCCACGCGGAGGGACGGCGCCAGCCTCGAGAGTGATCCCGTGACGTATGGGCGATCCGGAACCGTTCCGGTGGGAGCCTCGAAGACGTCTCTATACTCGTCCAAGAGGTGAGAAATGCGTGGGTCCGGCGGTGACGCGGCTGGTCCGTCCGGCGAGGGGAGAGCATGCAAGAATACAAGGTCCATCTCCTCGACGTCATTCCGAGCTATGGCGTCGCGAATTTTCGCGACGGAAACCACGTGACAAGCAATCGAAGTGTGAGGGGTCGCGACCGTACATGGGACTAACACTCCGTTCCAATCACGGATGTGAACAGTTCGGTCATGAAAGTTCACCGGATGATCGGCGCTACGCAACCAAGACATGCCTAGAATCATGTCGAACTTGGTGTCGAGGATGTCAAAAGACACCGGCTCGCACGCAAGTGGCGCAAAGTATACCGGAACGCCGTCCGCGAGTGTGACTATTGACTTTTGCGTGCGGCCGTCCGCGAGTGTGACTTGCGTGGGTTGCGTCTTCCTTCGAACGCGCGGGCCAAGGCCTGCGCGGACCATAAAGGCTTGGCTCATAAAGTTGCGAGACGCTCCACAATCAATCAAGGCACTACAGGTTGCCTTTCCGATTTGAATGCGGATATAGAGCAAAGGCGCGTCGGTCTCGGCGTACCTTTGGGTGGCGTACTCGAGGTTAATCTTCGCAAGATAGGAGCGGAAATCGACAACCGCTACTCCGTCGTCCGTCAACGGAGCTGGTACTGTAGTGTGCAAATAGGAGCGTAGAGTTGCCATCAAGGCGTTGCAATGCGGCCTTGGCAAGGTTCCGGTCGAGGGTAGAGGCATCCAAGCGAAGTCCTCTCTCTTGAGCGGGTCAAGCTCCTCAAGTCTTGACCACGCCGTCGAGTCCTCGGAAGTCAGTGGCGAGCTGACCGGATCTCTTGTCGACGGTGTACAGGCTGCGCATACGCTAGCTAAATGCACGTGGCTCGACTGGTCTAATGGTGGTACCAGCTGGGCGACATAATCCTCGTACGCAGCACGAGAATCAGCGACTAACGCATGCTCCCCGGTAGTGACATCGATTGCTAGCAAAGCAACCGGGTCCGGCGGAGTGAGGAGAGACGTCGCCCCTCTCCTTGCGTAACTCAGTTTTCCGAGTTAGCTGGACGGGGTAAGCGTGCCTTGCCCTTTTCGGGGCATTGTGCGGTCACATGAGTGACACCATTGCACCATAGGCAATATCCGTACCGTTGACGTAGGTCATATACTTCCTTGGTTATCTTGTATGCCGTCCATGGCTGCTGCCCAGTTCCCGTCGATGTCGTCTCTTGTGTCACCTTGGGTTTCCGGACCCTCTTAGGACGCTTCGGCGGGAGCGCTGCTACAATTCCTCCATCGCTCGAGGATGCTGCTGCAGCGTGGAGATCGTCTGTTTCTTCAGAAATCACGACATTGTTATGTGTCGGACGTTGATAGCCCTGCTTAGCCACATAATGCGGCTGGGATTGTTTCTCATTAGCGGCCTTGTCGTCCGTTTGGATGACCAGGTTTGCGCGATCCAGGATAGCCTGGAACGAGGTATAGTCGTACTCGTTACCGAGTGCCGACCGCAATCCTGCGCACGATCGCGAGAAGAACTCGGATCGTTGATTAGGAAAAGTCAAATCGAAGCCTCGTGTGGTCACTATCTTCTGCCACTTGGTTGTCCAGTCTCGAGTTGGCATACTTCCTTGAGAGCAGGTGTACACCTCGTTCATGGCCGCCTTCACGATGTTGCGGACCATGAACCGGGTGAACCATAGCTTCTCGAAATCCTTCCACGTGATGTGCGTGTGAAGTTCGGCGATGGTGCATGTGTTGGTAGCCGCCAAATGGTTCATCCATGCCTGCGCTCCTCCAATCAGCTGTAAGTATAACGCCTTCATCAGATAGTCGTCCGGGACAGTGCGGCATGATGCTTCCTTGAGGAAACGTTGCCACCATGCCAAAGCGTCCGTCTTGTTGTGGTCGTCGAACTTGCGGATGTCGAAGTGTGGCATCTTGTAGTTCTTCGTAGTGGCGTCCGGTTTCGTCTGCAGCTTGGTGATGTCTGTCTTGATGGCGGCCACCGTGCTACTGATCGTGTCCGGCCCATTGAAAACACCTATGTCGCCGATGAGATTGACGACATGATCGATGCGCCCATTGAGTTGCTTCGTTGTGTCTGTCATATCTGGCGTGCAGCCTGGCGCTGCTTGGGGAGGCCTTGCCTCCAAGGTAGCAATGCAGCTGCAGTGTGGACCGGGAATGCAGCTCCCCCATGGAGCTGTTCCAAATGACGGCGCGCATTGTATGGAGTAGGTTATCTGCCAGGTCTTGCCTCTCTTGCTGTACTGTTGTCGGCTCGCTGCCGGGTACCGGGACATAACGCATCCCGTTGAGCACCGCTGTCCATTGTGCTTGGTTAGCACTTACAAGTTCAGCGCTGCCGGCGTTGAGCTGATCGATCGCCAACTGGTCTGCCTCGGCTTGACGCCGGGTTTGTGTTGCAGCTTCCTCTGCTAGCCGTAGTCTTTTGGTCGCGGCAGCCTCTTGCTGTTCCTTGACCTGGGTGACTGCGGCTGAATAGTCCTGCATTCTCTGAATGAAGTCCGGAAGGGGCTCATTCGACCCTTGCACCGGACAGACCGGTAAGGGTTCGGCATTACTAGCTGTCGAACCCTCGGATGATGATCCGCTGTGTGGCGTGTTCGCCATCTGAGTACTGGTCTGTGGCGGTTGTGGAACTGGAGGTTGTTATCGCTGTTGGTGATCGGCGATCCTCTTGCTGTGTCGTGGCGCTGGCATCAGAAGCTGTTGCTGAAGACTGGCTCGTCCGAAGGATCGCAGAACAGTGTTAGGGAGAGGGTGGGTACAGGGATAGAACAGATCAAGCAATCAACATACAGTCCCTGTCCCAAGGATGGACTAAGACACCTAATCAAACAGAAAAAATAAATGTTCCCGTAAACAATTCGAAAATTCGTAATAAGAAGAATAATAACGAATTATTTAATCAATAATTTAATTAATGATTAATACGAAAGAATAATTCTTAATGATAATCAATAAACAATCTTTGCAATAGTGATTTCTTAACGATAATCAATTGAAACAATCTTTGCAATAATGATAATGAACGAATTTTGAATTGTATTAAAATCAGGTCTCTTTGAGATCAATTTCGGTCCGGGAGTTCACCGGTAATGAGTGAACTATCCGGAAGTTGCAACTTTGAGGGTTAGATTCGGATTAGTTTGCCGAAAAAATTCTCGGAAAAAGTTAGGGGAAAACACTCGAATTTTCAAAAACGTAAATTTCGGGAATTTCCACCGTCAAAATCCGATTTTTAACGGCCTAAACCCGTTTTCGGAATTTCTCAAAACAAAGGAAAGAAAAAAAAAAATCGCAAAAATTGCGGGCCCAACCCTAATTTTCCGCGTTTCGGCGGAATTTCGGGATTTATGGTTCCCAAAACGTTTGAATTTCCCAAGTTGAGTGAAAGCCCAAAAATTTTTGTAACCCTAATTCCTCATACTGTAATAAAACGGAATTGCCTGATTTAGAAACGAAATACAGGATTAAAATCAGAATGCCGAAATACAACGGAATACCGAAAGAAATCAGAATGCCGAAATCAACAGAAAACCGATTTAACCCTGATTACGAATTACTAACCAGAAATCCGAATCAAACAGAATGTTGGATTAGTATCAATTTATCGGAACCTAGTTAAACAGCATACCGGCTTAAAACAGAAATCCGAATAATAAGTCCGAATACTGAATTGAAACGGAGTGCCGAAATAAACAGAATACCGAAAAAAGAAGAAAAAAAAAATTGCAACTTTGAACTTGATAGTAATACAGCGCTGATTTGGAAGATTGACGAAACAATCTGATTCCTAAATCAGTCTTACCTGGTGAGCAGATCCGTAACTGGTCTGCTCCGATACCAAAACTGTTACATACTGCAATGAGTATGGGCAGAACCAAAGATCAACCAATATAGGATGAGAATATATGCAGTGGAAGTCTGATAAACGGACTGACTCACATAGACTGACTCACATAGGTATCACTCCACACACATACAATCATGAGATGGTGGGGTCTGGGCCAAGCATAGACGATGCCCAGATCCCGTACACACATACACAGATGAAAGGTGGGAGGAGAGACGAAGGAGGTGGGGGTGGTAGACAGCACCGGTAGGTCACCGAGATAGAATCCGATAGGTCACCGATATGGTTGTCCAAAATGTCATCCAACAAGATCAAAATGTCGAGGACAATCAGTCACCAATGTCGGAGATACAGAGTCCAAATGTAACCGGTGTCCGAACTGTGATGCCGCCAAGTATCAACCCCAACAATCTCCAAGTCTCCAATCCGGTAAGTACCACAGTCTCATACCACCGAAATCCAACTCTGATCTCTGTCCAACTAGTATAAGTCTCCAAATCTGAAGAAGAAGAAGAAGAAGAAGAAGAAGAAGAAGAAGAAGAAGAAGAAGAAGAAGATGGAGTCTGAAAAGAAGAGGAAGAAGGGAGCCGAGGAGGAGAGAGAGAGAGAGGGGACTGGCGAGGGGAGGGAGGAGAGAGGCCTCCAACTCCCGATACCTCAGGCGGCTATGGCCGCCGGCACACTCAGTCGCCGCTGCTGCTGCTCGCTCGCTGCTGCTGCGCTAATGCTGCGCTGCTGCTCCTCGCTGCTCCTGCGCTAAACTTAGCGCCAGCGCTGTATCGCGCTGTACCATACCGTACCGGTAGAATGCCGGTAGGTCGATGGCCTCACTGAGGCTGGACCGGTACCTTTGTACCGGTGGGCAGAGGTCGGCCTCTATGCTGCGAGGCCTGACCGTGCCCTGAACCGTCCATCCCCAACCGGCGGGCGGCAGCCTCAAGAGCGCTGCCAGGCCCAAACGGTAATATCGTTTGGGCCGGCCCATCAGGTCTGGTCCAAGGTAAGGCCTTTACGGCCTGTAGTACCCCCCAAGGTCGGGCCTTTGGCCCTACTTTGTCCCTCTACCCCTACGTCGGGTCCGGTAGGACCCGTGTGCCGTCGAAGATGTAACATCTACATTGCTGATGTGGCGCATGCCACCTGTCTCAACTGCTGACGTGGCATCGTCCATGCTGTCTACATGAGGTGACTGGTTGCAAGGAGGAGGAAGATCGGGATCTGTGGATGATTGAGATCGGGTACTCCCCTGAGGTTGACATCATCACTGTATTCTGCTGTGTCTTCATGGTCTTCACGAGATAAGAGTGCCATGTGGCACTACTGTGTGATCAGGATTACCATAATTGTTATCATATATTGTGTGATCATTGATCATCTCTTCCACCTTCTCCTTTGTCTATTTCCCCTCCACTCTCTTCGTCTAATGGTAATGAGATACTGTTTCAAACATCACTTCACGATAATTGGAGGCTATGCTGCAGATACCGAGAACTACTGGTGTTTGACGACTGATGAGCATCTGCCAGACTGAATTCATTACACCTGGGGCAGAAGGTGTTTAGTTTATTGTTCTGCTGCAGTTTCTGCATAACATAACTTCTTTTGCGGAAGTTTTCCAGTTTTTTTAACTTTTTTTTTTTTTTTCTTTTTCTTTTTTGGCAGGAAACTCGGCTGGCCCTTGCCCGGTAGGGCTTCCTGGGCCGCCAAGGTGGCTTCGGTGGCCCAGTTGGTAGTGCAGACAGTAATGTCATAAATAGTAAATTAAATAAATTCAATTTAATTGCACATCACACAGGCAGAGAGAGTTGAACACATCACAGAATGACGGATTAAATTACACAGAGTCAAAGTCAAAGTTGTCAAATTCCATTTTGCCACCTTCCTACGGGTGTTCTCACCTCGATCGACTGCCCTACTGTCTTCCCCCGAACACAACGCACCCTCATTGTTCATGACTGTACTGGGCTAGAAAGATAGCTAGTATACATTCATGATCAGGGGGCGTTGTGTTCAGGGGAAGACGGTAATCTCACCGGAACATGGTAAGGGCTTGCATGTGGGTTGGAGGGAGGGGGAGGGAGGGAGGGGGCGGTGGTGGGGGGAAAGGGAGGACCTGCAGTCTTTCTTTTCTTTACCTTATTTATGTGAATTGTGCAGTCGATGGTATGGCGGCTCCAAAGCATGGAGAAAGTGAAGAACTCGAGGATCACGGAGCTGGAGGCAGAGTTGCAGAGGATAGAGCGGTTGAGAAAGGCTAGTGCAGATGATTATGAGAGACAGATTGATTGGCTGGTATGGCTTTGCTCCTTTCCTTACATCACTGTCAATCTGCTATGATGCATCAGCTTCTATGTGTTCTTCTTCTTGCCTTTCTCCCCCTTCCCTCTCCTGCTCTCTCTCTCTCTCTCTCTCTCTCTCTCTCTCTCTCTCTCTCTCTCTCTCTCTCTCTCTCTCTCT